TAAGTAAACCATTTTATAAATCTAGATACATTATTTTCTGATTTTAAAAGTATCTTTTTTGTGTTTCAAATTAAAGTTTCTTTTATTATCAGAAAACAATTTATTTAAATTTACAAAATGATTTATTTGTATTTTATTTACTTTTGAAACAAGTAAATATTTTTTAAATATACTTTTTACATACTTTTCAAACATACATTTTACATTTAAAACATTTCTACTCTCTTCTTTTAAATAAATCATTTTTTTTCGTGCATGAATATACCATACAAAGCATGTATACAATACAAAGCATCTCTCAGTCAAAGTGATAGTGACGCAGTAGGTAAGGTGAATGACTTAAGAACCAGAGGTTTCAGGTTCGAATCGCGGCAATGGTAAGCAAATTTTCGAAGTAAAATTTAACTTGAATTAAGTAATGTGTGAAACAACCCAGACAGCACAATGTCTAAAAGTGGGACATAAGACGTCTTTAAGATGTCTTTAAGTTGTCTTTAAGACAAGTTTATAAAATATTGTCTTAAAGATGTCTTAAAGTTGCATTAAAGACGTCTTATGACTCGATTTTGGATATTTGTGCCGTCTGGAAATATAAAGTGAAAACTAAGAATATATATATTTTAAAAATTTAAGAAAAGTTCAGAAAAGAAAAAAAAGTATATAAATGTATATATTTTAATAAATATTTTTATATTTTTTTTTGAAGCTAAGGTCATAAAAATATTTATGAAATATTTTGGTAAATATTTATAAAATATTCAAATAAATCTTATAAATATTTTGTAAGTAATTTATAAATATTTTGTGCTGTTTGGGTATCTCATTATTTTTAACGTTTTTAAAAATGCTTTTTGAAATATCTTTTAAATATTCTTTTGGTGGTTAGGAACATTCAATATTCAAAATTACAAACATTCTATTTTCGTTCTAAGAACATCCAGTTTTAGTCCAGTGGGTCCTTAATTCGGATGTCTTTTGAACGTCCATAAAAGTAACAACGGATGTTTTTAAAATGTCTTAAAAACGTTTGTGGATCTGAAATGGACGTTTTAAATACGTACACAACGTCCAATATGTACGTTTTTAATATGTTTTTAAAACGTTTTTGTGCTGTCTGGATACCAAATATTACCTCAGTAAAAACAATATTTAATATAAAAAAATTGATTTGAAAATTGAATTGACAAATTATATAAGATAACTTTTAAATAAATTGCTTCCTATCGTTAATACTACTGTGTCCAAAAAGTAAGACCAATTAAAAAAATTTTTTTTTAATCTTTATTTATTATTCCAAATTTATTTCGTCGCCTTCAAAGTAATCCCCCTCAGACACAATACACTTATGCCAACGTTTTTTCCAACCCTCGAAACAGTTGTTAAAGTCGATTTCCGGAATGGCCTTCAAAGTTTTCTTTGATTCAGCTTGTATCTCTTCAATCGAGTCAAAACGGTGTCCCCGGAGGAGCGGTCTTTTGAGTTTAGGGAATAGCCAGAAGTCACACGGTGCTAAATCAGGGGAATATGGTGGTCGTGGAACGATATGGATCGAATTTTTAGCGAAATGGTCTCGAGGAACCAATGCAGTGTGAGATGGCGTATTATCGTGGTGCAAAAATTAAGAGTTGTCTTTCCACAATTCCGGCCTCTTTTTGCGAATAGCTTCACGCAAACGACGCATAATTTGACACAGATGTCTGTCACAGTGCTACCAAGTTAGAAAAAAAATATTTCTGACATTCGATATACCCGCGCAATTTAACTTGAAAATTGGTCTTACTTTTTGGTCACAGTAGTACGTACCACAATTAAATTATTTCAAATTATGTTTTATTATATCTGGGTCCCTATTCTTGAAATAGTTGCGTATATGTAAGTTTTACTGCGCAGGTTTAATCCCAGTAAGCAAATTGCGCGCAGACTGTGCGCAGATTGGCAGCAAATTTCACCAAAAACCCCTAGCAAAACCATAGCCATCTGTGTTTACATTAGACTACGGTTTTGGCGACAGATCTTGCTGTCGGGCAATTGGTGCCAAATTTACAGCAAAAACCGAGCTTGTAGCGCAGCAAGGTCTACGCGGTTTTTGCCGCTAATCTGCCGTCAAATCGCTACGAGCTCTGCGCGGTTTTTGCTACAAATCTGCAGCAATTATCCGACAACAAGCTCTGCCGCATATCTGGCAGCAATTTGGCTGCAAGATTTGATATAACAGATCCTGCATCAAATTTGTTATCTTTTTGCCATCAAAAGTTGATAGTAAGCTCTGCTCGAAATCTGTTCGCGCAAGTTTGGCTATCTTTTGAGATCATACCATAAAATAGCTGTGCAATGAAAATTATATTACTCGTATACACAAAAATTTCAAGAATAAGGGTCCTGGCTATTTGACGTTTGTACGACTTGCCATACGCCACTCCTTGTTCCGAATTGCGGTATAATACGGACGGGAGTAGAGCAGGAGTAGCCATTGAATATATTAGTTGCAGATAGGAGCATATAGTACTCTGTCCGGATCCAGATCTCATTCGTTCCGAATTCGCTATCGTAAGCACCCATATTTTGCATATCCTCTTCTTATAAGAGTATATTCGGATTCCTATTGCACAATTTCTTATTCAGGAATGTACTCTTGATCTTGATTATAGTTTACGTGTCCTCTCTTTTATAGATGAATAATAACGTGTTAAAGAGGAGTACACTTCATATAAGATTTTTTTACTTAGAAGAGACACTTGGAAGAATTCCTCGCTTACAAATGGAATACTTTTTTTGTATGGCTACATTATAATTAAATACATTATAATAAAACAACATACTACATTATAATAAAATACATTATAACTTTTAAAATCAGAAGATCTCATACAAGTTTAATATTATGATGTCGAACAAGTGTTATAAGATATATAAAAGCGCTGTTAGCGCTGTATGTGTTACTATTAAACAAAGAAATTGATATTTTACTATATATATAAAAGTATAATTTTTCTTTATAATTTTTCTATAATTTAGATAATCAAGCATTTGATAAGCGTCATGCGGATTTATGGGGCGTGCGGGCTGTCTGGACCTCAAATCGGACTACCGTGGCAGATATTCGCTATAGAATTTACGGAGGAGCATATGCAAAAGATCGACGTAGCTGTCAGAAAAACACAAGAAATAAAAATTGTTCCGACACAAATTTTTATCAATCCTCAATTAAAAATCACGAACCACACTTCTATCGCTTTTTACGAGGTTTGTGAAAGTATTCGCGGATATTCCGCTGTAGTGCCCAGAGCATACGAAGTTGAAATTAAGGCGTTAGACGCTTCCGCTCAACAGTTCACGTGGAAGGCTTGTGGATGGCCTGCCAGAATGGCACAACATGAATTCGATCATTTACAGGTAAGGCTGTGTGCACCAGTCATCTGCTCGCTATTTGCCGATGGCTTATTTTTTTATTTTCTTCATAAGTTCTCACAATACATGGTAACGATGCTGATAAATACTTACAGCAATATTCGTAGCAGATTCGATTATATAAATAATGCTTATATATGTTGTGAATATATTATATCAATATTAGGAAAAATTATATATGAATTTATAGCGGTAAAATAGAAGTTATCAGATAGAATATTGCAATGTCATGAAATAAGTAGATTACGAACAAATTCATAATAACCTATCATTAGTGTTTTATATGAACAAATTTGTAATAAACTTTAGAATATTGTGCGCGTTCGTTTTCCAATATGGTACGCAGCATAGTAGGAAGCGAAGAAATATGGAGAATGGTGGCTTTTTTCTGCGAGGCAGTGATGTCGCAGAAGGAGGCCGCCGAGCGGAGTCAAGGTCCCCCAGCGGATTGCGCAAGTCAGGACGGGCATAAGCAACCACATAGGAGTGGCACTTGAAATCGGGGCCGCCCTTGACAACCCAAGGCTCAAATCATAAAGCTCTCCGGAGAGGAGGGGGATACGCAGACGGAGGGGACTCAGTTTTTTCTTAATTCATAACGTGGCTTTTTCCTGGAGTCGTTGGCCAAATGGCTGGTTACCGGGGAAGGGGGTCACGAAGGTTACAATGCATCCAGTTCTCGCCTGTTAGAAAGATAGAGAGGTGGGAGTTTCGAGGGCGGAGATTCGAAGCTCTATCTTCATTTTCCGAATAGGGGCGCGGCGGAATGGCAGCGCGCGTGCTGATTTCCCACTGGGCTACCGCTCGGTAAAAATCTTTTATCGTTAGTATCTCAAAGTTTTACGTGGTTGTTTAAAAAAAGACACCGATTCCATTACATACGCTGACCTATCTATTCTAGCTTTGGTACGATACAAATCAGACACTCTATATACACCTATAGTACTCTAAGAGTTATTATGAATTTGTTCGTGATTTATTTTATTACATTGTAACGCACTAAACAATAACATCAGGAAACGCGATAATGTCTCGCGCCAAGTATATATATACAGGGTATCTCAGAACAATCTACGAAGCTCTCGTGAGGACGTCCCGATAAAAAATTTTTCATGCATAATTATGTATGAAATTTGTCCTTATATAATTATATATAATCATATAATATTATTTATCTTTATACACAATTATGTATAACAATATGTATAATTACATATAAATCTATGCGTAATTATGTAAAATTATATATGAATTTACATATACGAGGGTGGTCTGAAAAGTTTCCGACCTAACAAAGATACAAGTCATTTTTTCTGAAAATTGTTTTTTATTTTTCAACATAGTCTCCTTGTAAATCTACACACTTCTCCCAGCGATGCTCCCATCTCTGTAACCCGTCGAAATAGTACTCGGCGTTTTTCTCTGCAAAATAATTGTTCACGAAGGTGATTGCCTCTTCATTTGACGAAAATCTCTGTCCTCCGAGCGCAATTTTTAGATGAGGGAACAAAAAGAAGTCGCTTGGGGCTAGATCTGGTGAGTAAGGTGGATGGTCAAGCAGTTCAAACCGTAATTCGTGGATTTT